TTGGTGAATGCTCCCTCGTGAACTTGTCTTCATTTTTGTGGTTGAGGCTCCACGCATAAATGTCTGAACCTCAATTATGTTGTTTGTTTGGAGTTATTGTTTTTGATATGGTGACATTTCTTATCAGATCATCATTGTTAGTGAAGATGAGGTCTCGTTTTATTCTCCAGTCTAGTAGGCTCTTTATTTGGCTGGTTTAAATTGAATTTTGTGCAGAGATTTAAAAGATCGTGTGAGTGTGAGTTTTTCAACAGAACTGCCTCCTGGTGCTATTACTGCAACAATATTATTTGCATATTCCTCCATTTTAGGTGCCTTAAAGTATTGGAAATCCCCAGGAGCAAGATGTTGGGTGCAGGAGCTGGAAGATTTTCCAGACAGTGGTCAATTTTTAACAGCTGTTCCTGGAATTGCTGGGATGTTGCATCCGGAGGATTGTAGACTACCACAATGACAGGTTTTTTTGGTTCTCGACCTTTACTGCTAAAACTTCCACTACGTCATTTGACGGCTTTATGCAGTTCGGGTGCAAAACAAGTGACTTCTGCAATGTACTGGCCAACCCCCCCCTTTTTGCCTGTATCGACTCTGTCACATCTGTATAGGTTGTAACCTGGGATCCATATTTCGTGGTCCAAGTGATCCTTTTGTGGGTCTCAGTTGAAAGCCGCGAACATTGCCATTTGCCTCTGCATGCAGTCCACGGATGAAAGGTATTTTGTTGTTTATTGCTGGCTTTTGACCCTGTATATTTGCAACGAAGAATGTTATCGGACTGGTGGTATTGTTGGTACTGGGGGGGGATTTTTTTCCGGCATTAGATCTGTATCTGTTGGTTTGGAGTGGAGGCCATCGACTGTGGTTCCACTCCAGGAATGACTGGATTTGGTGTACGATTTCTGCCATTTCCTGCCAGTTTTTTTTCCTTCCTGGCACTAAAAACCTCTCCCCCCTTGAGTGGCTGTGGCTACCCAGGTTTTTCCCATGGCCTGGATGTTTTGTTATCTTTTTGCCCCTTTAGAGGAAATGCCTGAAATTTTTAAGTTATAGCACAGTCTTTCCTGTACTGAAGAGGTACACATTTTCGGGGTGAAAAAGCTTACGGGAAAGGGAGTTTGCATTTTCCCTGTTGTCATATGGGCATGACATTTTCTAGGGTGGTCATAGTTGCATGTCCCCATCTGTTTTTCCAGATTTCCCATGCCAGAAGATACCAAGTGCATAGTATGTGCACAGGCTTGGTTTTCCGTTTGCCTTGGGTTTCTGTGACTGTATTCCCTGTTGGTGCATGTTCCCTGTCTTATTCCTATCCTCCTTACACCAACAATGGAGCTCCCACCAGTTGTTTTTGGTAATTTATCCTCACTATTGCTATTGGGTCCTCTTGTTTGCTATTTCCTGCGGTATTTCTGGTTTGCAATTTTGGGTTTTTATCTTATCTTTGACTACACTTGTTTCCCTACTATGGCTCCTGTCCTCTATGAGTTCATTTATATGATTCCTTCCTGGGGTATAATTCCCGACTACCTGGACAAAATCTCCAGCTTCACCATTACTGTCTACCAGGACAGTATCTCCAGCTTCACCATTTCTGTCTCCCAGGACAGCACCTCCAGCTTCACCATTACTGTCTCCCAGGACAGTATCTCCAGCTTCACCATTACTGCCTCCAGGACAGCACCTCCAGCTTCACCATTACGTCCCCCCAGGACAGCACTATCAGCCCTACATTTACTGACTACCGGGACATCACCTCCAGCCTTACAGTTTGTGACTACATGGCCAGTATCAAGGCAGTACCATTCAGCCCGGACTTTTTATGTTCCCATCTGTTGTAGAAAGCTTCCAGGTTTTCTATGAAAGCAGCTTTGATGTTATCCTCTTTTAATACCCTTGTGATTTTAGTCCACAGTTTTTCCTCATTTGGGCATACCCAAAAACACTTCTCTGTTTTAATACTGCTTGTAGCTAGTTCTGGGATATCTGCACAAGGAGCGTGACACCAATTTCCACAAAAATGACATTTATCCATGTGGTAGCCCGTTTGTTTTACTGACCCCCAGACTACACACAGCTTCATAATGATTTGAATGGTTGATTACGCAAGTCTACTAGCAACCTCTTGAATATTATATTAATAACCTTAAATAAAGCTCTAGCTATTTATTTCGTTTCTAACTCTTTTTGTATAATTGGACAGCTTACCGTCACTTTCCCTGATTTTTAATGTTTGTGTTTATAAGGGCGCCTACAAACCCATCCGTTTTACAGTCTGCTTTATTGTCCAACGAAACTGTTTGAAACCAGTCCCGGGTTCGGACCAGTCAAGGGTTGGGCCAGTCAAGGGTTCGGACCATCGATCTGCTCTGATCATGGGTCACTTATTTAAAACATACGGGTCGGTGATTTGAGCTAACACATGAAGGATCTACTGGAAATTATCTACCCAGTAATATGTGATTTGACTGATACAAAAGTATAACTTGCGTGTTGAAGACCCGGTGATATCTGGCAGCTCCTACAATGACGTACAGTCGACCTCTTTGTTTATCAATCGCTGTATCTGGCTTTTCTATTTTTGTTTTTCCGTCTCCACCACAATAAATGCTATATTATCACTATAGTTGACTGGTACAAATTTTGGAGGAAGGACGCTTTTTCTGTAGTAATAATTGCTTCTCGTTGTGTATATTGCGACCGCTGGTAACTACAGGTTATATGAAATTCACAGTAACGTCTCGTATTTCAAGAAAATGAAACTAATGAAAGTCACTCCACTCCACTAAGTACCATTATAATACTGGTTAGTTGCTACTACAACACTGTATTCTGCTATTCACTGGTATCACTAGATTATATGCGAGTACAAGATTATAAATGAAAACCAGCATGGGTTCATGGAAGGCAAATCTTGTATCACAAACCTCCTAGAGTTTTATGACAAGGTAACAGAAGTAAGACACGAGAGAGAGGGGTGGGTAGATTGCGTTTTCCTAGACTGCAGGAAGGCCTTTGACACAGTTCCCCACAAGAGATTAGTGCAGAAGCTGGAGGATCAGGCGCATGTAAAAGGGAGGGCACTGCAATGGATAAGGGAATACCTGACAGGGAGGCAGCAACGAGTCATGGTACGTGAAGAGGTATCACAGTGGGCGCCTGTTACGAGCGGGTCCTACAGGGGTCAGTTTAGGACCAGTGCTATTTTTTTATATATGTGAACGACATGATGGAAGGAATAGACTCTGAAGTGTCCCTGTTCGCAGATGACGTGAAGTTGATGAGAAGAATTAAAAACGGGCGAGGATGAGGCAGGACTGCAAAAAGACCTGGGCAGGCTGGGCATGTGTCCAGTAACTGGCTTCTCGAATTCAATCCAGCAAATGTAAAGTCATGAAGATTGGGGGGGGGCAAAGAAGACCGCAGCAGAGTATAGGCTAGGTGGACAAGACTACAGACCTCACTCAGGGAGAAAGACCTTGGGGTGACCATAACACGAGCACATCACCGAGGCACACATCAACAAAATAACTGCTGCAGCATAACGGGCGCCTGGCAAACCTGAGAATAGCGTTCCGATACCTTAATAAGGAATCGTTCAAGACACTGTACAACTGTGTATGTTAGGCCCATACTGGAGTATGCAGCACCCGTCTGGGAAACCCCCACCTGTCAAGCACGTCAAGAAGTTAGAGAAAGTACAAAGGTTTTTCAAAAAAGGGCTAGTCCAGAGCTCAAGGAATGTCGTACAGGAATGGTTAAGGGAAATCGACTGACGACACTGGAGGACGGAAGGGTCAGGGGAGACATGATAACGACATACAAGATTTCTGCGGGGAATAGACAAGGTGGACAGAGATAGGATGTTCCAAGAGGGGGCACAGGGACAAAGGGGTCACAACTGGGAAACTGAAGACTCAGACGAGTCACAGGGACGTTAGGAAGTATTTCTTCAGTCATAGAGTTTCAGGAAGTGGAATAGCCTAGCAAGTGTAGTGGAGGCAGGAACCATACATAGTTTTAAGAAGAGGTATGATACAGCTCAGGAAGCAGAGAGAGAGAGGACCTAGTAGCGATCAGTGAAGAGGCGGGGCCAGGAGCTGAGTCTCGACCCCTGCAACCACAATTAGGTGAGTACAATTAGGCGAGTACACACACACACACACACACACACACACACACACACACACACACACACACACACGTGGTAATGCTTTATTTACAGCTAGCAAAGTCAGGGTATTTCTCCAGAATGGTCTGTAATATACCACTGTGGATAAAATACTTTGCAATTTCTTGAACATTTCTGAGTGAGTTGTCTGTAAATTCATTAATTTTATCGCACTCCAGTACATAATGACTCAAGGTGTGACAATAGTCCATCTGGCAAAGTTTACATTTCGTTTGGTCTACATCTGGTGGTGGTGATTTAACCTGCCAAAGATACTTGTAACCCAGCCGGGCGGTAGTGACATCCAAGAGTCTGCTTATTTTGTTGGATGCACCATAGACATGTGGCTCCTCCTGCATGATGGAATGATGATAGATGGACTGACTTGTGTCAATCTCCCTAAGTCTTAAGTCAATAAAGTTCATTTGAAGATCTTTTAAAAGTCACATCAACACTACGTTTTATAAACGTTATATCCTTTAATAATTACAATAATTACCAGAAAATTTTGAGAATTTTCCACACGTACTTCGGTGTTTGTTGACTGTTATGGGTGGCAGTAAATAGGTAAGTTAGCATTATTTAACTTATGAGTGGGAGTAAGTAGGTACTTAGGCGTTAGTTAACTGTTATAGGTGGCAGTAAATAGGTACTTAGGCGTTGGTTAATTGTTATAGGTGGCAGTAAATAGGTACTTAGGCGTTAGTAAACTGTTAGGGTGGCTTCCTGGGAGAGGTCGTGGCATACAGTAGATCTGGGTACTGAAATAAGGTATGATCGTAGCTCTTGGGCTGTAAATTAAAAGTAAATTTATTTAATACGTTTTTTACAGCTACCTGTCAATGCTTCTGACACTGAAGAGTGAGTGTGATGAGAACACTGGTGAACCTCTGCCAGTCTTAACCCCAGCCTGCCAGGCCATCATGAAGGACATAGGCCTGCAGATACGAACAACTCACGAGGCTTTAGCTGAAGTTACAGCCAATCCCAGAGGAGCTTTAGCTGAACTAATACAGAGAGGAATTGAAAGGTAAGTTAGGAGATTTGGAGAGGGAACAAAATAATAATTATAAAACGATACTAAGATAATAATCAGGGTGTTTATGACACACTCGAATTAATGCTATTAGATATGTGGGCCAATTAGACACGTGTGCAACATCTGGGTATCTTTACAAAGTAGATACAATGTAAAGATACCCAGATATTGCACATGTGTCTAATTCATCGTTTTGTTCGAATTGCATTCCTCTGACAGATAGGAAGGTCGTTTGAGGGTAAATTCTGTACACTTCTGGCAAGACACCTACTGACTGAATGACGGTGAATGTGTTTATCCTTTTTCTTGAGTCGCTGTGCCTTGGCAGGAGGCCGTCAAGGCAACGTGAAGGTATCATTAAAACACTGTAGAAAATCTAGTGAGGAATACTTACTCTTTAAGTTTAACTGTCGACTTGTCTCTGTTCTGCCAATAATAATATTGTTCTCTGTCTGTTTATATGTGATCTTTGTTTATATGTGCAATTAAAATGGCAAGCAATTCAGTTTGCAGTGTTGACGTCCAGTTAATTCTTATGTATAACTCAACAAAGTTGCTATCGTTCTTAACTAAGAAAGTGGCTTAGATTTATTAGTGTGTATAACCGGAGGTAAATTATTCCTAACAGTTAAGCCAGAAATTTCTTCTTGGGCAGCTGCCTTTACAAGTGATTTAAAGAAGGCATTACTAGTGATGAGTTTCTTGGGAGGGGCTTGCAGGTATATATACCTGGGGGTGGTCCGGGGGTAAGGTAAGATAAGATAAGATAAGATTTCGTTCGGATTTTTAACCCCGGAGGGTTAGCCACCCAGGATAACCCAAGAAAGTCAGTGCGTCATCGAGGACTGTCTAACTTATTTCCATTGGGGTCCTTAATCTTGTCCCCCAGGATGCGACCCACACCAGTCGACTAACACCCAGGTACCTATTTGCTGCTAGGTGAACAGGACAACAGGTGTAAGGAAACGTGTCGAAATGTTTCCACCCGCCGGGAATCGAACCCGGGCCCTCCGTGTGTGAAGCGGGAGCTTTAGCCACCAGGCCACCGGGTCAGCGTCTCCGCGGCCAGGTCCATGACCAGGCCTCACGGTGGATCAGGGCCTGATCCACCTGGACCATTATGTGCCTCTGTAATGTTGAACTACAGCTCCCAGACCCATTATGTGCATCTTCAATGTTGAGGTACAGTTCCTAGAACATGTGCCTCTGTAATGTTGAGGTACAGTGCCTGGACCAATTATATGCCTCTGTAATATTGAGGTACAGCTCCAGGAACCATTATTTACCTCTGTAAAGTTGAGATACAGTCCCTGGACCAATTATGCTCCTCTATAATGCTGATATAAAGTTTCTGGACCCATTATATACGTTTATAATGTTGAGACACAGTCCATCGAACCATTATGTGCCTCTCTAATTTTGAAGTATAGTCCCTGGACCCACTATATGCCTCTGTAATCTTTTGATTATTGCCCAGAGGATAGATATGGGTGGCATAATACAGATATTAAACCAAAACAATGAGAGAGAGAGAGAGGGGGGGGGGAGGGAGAACGAATCCTTACAACTACCCACATAACTCCCAGTTCCTCAATTTCTCTTCCAATTAACTTCTTGTTTTTGTTGTTGTAACCCACTGATCTGTTTCTGATAAAGGTACAACGAGGAAGACGCAGTGTCCAACGCTCAGAGGATACACCAGTGGACACTGCTGCCGCAGGACTTCTCTCTGCCCACCGGCGAACTCAACAACACCCTCAAGCTAAAAAGAAGATTTCTTATGGAGAAATATAAAGACGTTATTGACTCCATGTATAGTTTGGGAGGAGAACTGTCGAGTAAATTATAAATGTGTCGACATCCACCTCTGTGTGTGTGTGTAACTACCATCTGTGTCGACTACCATCTGTGTGTGTGTCGACTACCATCTGTGTGTGTGTCGACTGCCACCTTTGTGTATATGAACTACCAGTTCTGTGTGTGTGTTGACTATAAGCTCTGTGTGTGTGTGTTAGCTTCACACGGCGAGGGTCTGGGTTCGATTCCCAGCCAGAGTAGAAACATTGGACGTGTTTCTTTCCACCTGTTGTCTATGTTCCCCATCAGTAAAATGGGTACCTGGGTGTTAGTCGACTGGTGTGGGTCGCATCCTGGGACACTGACCTAATTTGCCCGAAATGTACCGAAATGCGGACCATAACAAGGGACTTTCTATATAGTTGTATGTCATTGTTGTCAGCTAGGACTGTATACCTTGTACATGTACTTGTAGTAAATAGATATTATTATTATTATAACTAGCATCTGTGTGTGTGTGTGTCGACTAGCACCTCCGTGTGTGTGTGTGTGTGTGCGTGCGTGCGTGTGTGTGTGTGTGTTTACTACCATCTGTGTGTGTGTACTCGCCTAATTGTGGTTGCAGGGGTCGATATTCAGCTCCTGGCCCTGCCTCTTCACCAGCGCCTCTTCACCCCGCCTCCTCACCAGCATCAAGGAACCTTGAGGCTGGTGAGGGGCTCTTGATCTAGAGAATTGGATCTGTGCTCTAGTTAAATTAATAATAATAATTATTATTATTTTTTTATTATAATAACGAACGCCGGTAACTCAGTGCAGTGTTTACCTCGCTGTGGGAGCAGTTCTCTCCTGCTTTGCTTACATTTTTAACAGTCATTTGGCCAAATTTAATTTTTCTAAGCATGGGTCCTAAGAAAGTAAGTGTAAAGGACAGTGTTGAGAAGAAAAAGAGAATGGTTTCCATGGAATTAAATCATGAAATCATAGATAAACAAGTGAGGTGTCCAGATTTTGGGTTGAGGGGGGGAGCTGGCTTGTAACTCAAATATTGGCTCGTAACTCAGAGCAAAAAATCGACCCAGGGATGACTCCTAACTCAAAAAACTGGTACGTCGAGACACTCGTAAGTCAAGGTTCCACTGTGTGTGTGTGTATATATATATATATATATATATATATATATATATATATTATATATATATATATATATATATATATATATATATATATGAAAAGATGGGGTGGTAGGGGAAGTGGAATATTCAAACGGCTTCAGGAAGAAATCCAAATATTTTTTCCTTGAAGCCTTTTTATCCACTTCTCCGAGGCTATGGGTCCCATAATTTACACCAGAGGTGGACCCCATCCTATATATATATAATATAATATATATAATATATATAATATATATTTATATATATATATATATATATATATATATATATATATATATATATATATATATATATATATATATATATATTATTTATTTATTGTGCCAAATAGGTAAAACTGGTCAATTAGGAATTATAAAAAGACTAGACCTACTTTTCACAGCAACTGAAAAAATGAATATCCACTTGGACTCTTTATCAACCTGAAGAAAGCTTTTGATTCAGTGGACCACAACATCTTGTTTCACAAACTTGATCATTACGGTATCAGAGGTCTTGCACTTGCATATATCAAGTCTTACCTTACTAACAGACAGCAATATGTCTCTGTTAAGGACACAAAAACAAGATCTCTGGACAGGGATACCTGGAAATATCTGGAGGGGGTTTTGGGGGGTCAACGCCTCTGCGGCTCGGTCTGAGACAAGGCCTCGTGGTGGATCATGGTCTGATCAACCAGGTTGTTACTGCTGGCTGCATGCAAGTGTCCTTGGCCTCCTATTTTTCCCTTGATATATCAACTACCTTCCACAGCGTCCGCTGTGTGGGACCCAAGGTTTGTAATTATTACTGGATGTATAAAATTTCATTTTTCACTTAATATATTGCTTATATCTTCATTAATAGCTAAAATGAAAATATTTTGATTTATATTATTATCTGACCCTATGTAATTAGTTATGTAAACAGGTAGGACGTGTTTTTCTTGAATTATGTTGGAAACAGCCTTTGCTAACTACCGTAAGATTATTAGGGTCAATCCGTCTCTCGGGGGTGTCCCATGAACTGGCTTGGAAGCGTTGCCTGGGTCAGTCCCTGCCTGCCCCTACCCCAGGAAACATCTTCCTTTCCTCTGAATAGTTTATTAGTCTCGAGTTTTGGATAAAAGAAGGTTTCGTTGGTGAGCCGGAACCTGTTTCTCGCTACTCTGAGTATCTGTGAGGCAGAGTTATTCCCAGACATAGTGATTTTGATACTGACTCAGGTTGTGGTTCTTTCTGACATTCCAAAGTAATGCTTTGGATTTAACTGTATGGTTTCTACGTATTACTATAGTCCAGAATTTGTTGGGCCGAACCTACATTCGACTTCCATTGACTCTTCTGAAGATCTCTGTTGGGTTTGATAAAATTATCTTTGTTCCTGCTCCTTTGTGATTGTTATATTCTGATGTTTCGACATGTGTGTTTACCTATGTGTAAACTCTTGCTTTGTAGGTAACAATGGGTGAAAAGATATATTTTTCGAAGAATTATGATTAATCTTGGCTTGATTAAGAGTCTAGCCACGTCAAGCCATTAATTATACTTGAAAATTACTGGGACTTTCATATATGCAAATATATATAAATTATGCAAGACTTGTAGTAAAGTTTTCTCGAAGTTGTACTGTAAGTAAAGTGCCTTCAGCACTGTAGTACCAACAGTACTATTCTGTAGTACTCAACGAGAGAGAGGAAAGCTTTGTATCAGATTCCATGTAATATTAATCTTTTCAGACACTTACATTAAAGATATTAAAATTTATCTTGTCGGATCATTGCCTCATAAGTTATATTCCCAAATCTCTAGAATAATGGTGTTTCTACCAAAGGATAATTAGACCTGTCTTTGATCCAACTGCTTGTTACGAAAGTTATTACAGGCTAAATACATAAAGGGATTCATTCAAGAACTGCCTGGAGTTATCTGCCCTTTTTGTGTAACCCAACAACACACAAAATTTCTTTTTGTAATACTTGTCAACACAGGTGTTGTCATCTGCCACCCAACTCGGTCATCATTCAATAACTTTATTAAAGAACTCTTTAAAATATCCACGTGGATGACTACCAATTAACTTATACTTAACACTCACCAAACTTTCGTAAGTTTAGTTTAATATGTTTATTATGCACCCCATACCCATCCTGTGGGCGGTAGTCAAAAGATTACAGAGGAAACAGGGAAACATGCACCAACAGGGAATACAGTCACAGAAACCCAAGGCAAACGGAAACCAAGCCTGTGCACATGCTATGCACTTGGTATCTGCAGACATGGGAAATCTGGAAAAACAGACGGGACGTGCAACTGTGACCACCCTAGAAATTGCCATGCCCATATAACAGGAAAATGCAAACTCCCTCCCTGTAATCTTTTTCACCCTGAAATGTGTACCTCTTCAGTACAGGACCCCTCATGGAAGGTTCCTTGATGTTGGTGAGGGGCTCTTGATTTAGGGAATTGGATCTGTGTTCCAGTTCCCCGAATTAAGCCTGAATGCCTTCCACATCCCCCTCCCCTGGGCGCTGTATAATCCTACGGGTTTAGCGCTTCCCCCTTGATTATAATAATAATAATTCAGTACAGGAAAGACTGTGCTATAACTTAAATTGCCAGGCACACCATCTAAAGGGTACAAAAAGATACAAAACATCCAGGCCATGGGAAAACCTGGGTAGCCACAGCCACTCAAGAGGGAGAGGTTTTTTAGTGCCAGGAAGGAAAAAAAAAACTGGCAGGAAATGGCAGAAATCGTACACCAAATCCAGTCATTCCTGGAGTGGGACCACAGTCGATGGCCTCCACTCCAAACCAACAGATACAGATACTAATGCCGGAAAAAAAATCCCCCCCCCAGTACCAACAATACCACCAGTCCGATGACATTCTTCTTTGCAAATATACAGGGTCTAAAGCCAGCAACAAACAACAAAATACCTTTCATCCGTGGACTGCTTGCAGAGGCAAAGGCAATGTTCGCGGCTTTCGCTGAGACCCACATAAAGGATCACTTGGACAACGAAATATGGATCCCAGGTTACAACCTATACAGATGTGACAGAGTGAACAGGCAAAAGGGGGGGTTGGCCTGTACATTGCAGAGTCACTTGTTTGCACAGAACTGCTAAATGCCTCAAATGATGCAGTGGAAGTTTTAGCAGTAAAGGTCGAGAACCAAAACCTAGTCATTGTGGTAGTCTACAAGCCTCCGGATGCAACATCCCAGCAATTCCAGGAACAGCTGTTAAAAATTCACAACTCTGGAAAATCTTCCAGCTCCTGCACTCAACATCTTGCTCCTGGGGGATTTCAACTTAAGGCACCTAAAATGGAGGAATATAGTAAATAATATTGTTGCAGTAATAACACCAGGAGGCAGCTCTGATGAAAACTCACACTCGCACGAGCTTTTAAATCTCTGCACAAAATTCAATTTAAACCAGCAAATAATAGAGCCTACTAGACTGGAGAATACACTAGACCTCATCTTCACTAACAATGATGATCTGAAAAGAAATGTCACCATATCAAAAACAATATACTCAGATCACAACATAATTGAGGTTCAGACATGTATGCGTGGAGCCCCAGACAGACATAATGAGACTAGTCACGAGGGAGCATTCACCAAATTCAACTTCAATAACAAAAACATAGTGGGACCAAGTAAACCAAGTCCTAACCGATATAAGCTGGGAAGATATACTAAGCAACACAGACCCCAACGTATGCCTAGAACAGATTAACTTGGTGGCACTCGATGTATGCACAAGGCTTATTCCTCTAAGAAAAAGGAGGAGTAGATGTAAAATAGAAAGAGACAGGAGCTCCCTTTACAGGCGACGGAAAAGAATAACAGAGCGGCTAAAAGAGGTCAATATTTCTGAAATGCGTAGGGAGACACTGGTCAGAGAAATAGTAAGCATCGAACTCAAGCTAAAGGAATCTTATAGGAGTCAGGAATCGCGGTTAGAACTAAAAGCCATAAATGAAATCGAAAGAAACCCAAAGTATTTCTTCTCCTATGCCAAATCAAAGTCGAGAACAACATCCAGTATTGGGCCCCTACTTAAACAAGATGGGTCCTACACAGATGACAGCAAGGAAATGAGTGAGCTACTCAAGTTCCAATATGACTCAGTTTTTAGCAAGCCGCTAACCAGACTGAGAGTCGAAGATCAAAATGAATTTATGAGAGAGCCACAAAATTTGGTTAACACAAGCCTATCCGATGTTATCCTGACGCCAAATGACTTCGAACAGGCGATAAATGACATGCCCATGCACTCTGCCCCAGGGCCAGACTCATGGAACTCCGTGTTCATCAAGAACTGCAAGAAGCACCTATCACGAGCCTTTTCCATCCTATGGAGAGGGAGCATGGACACGGGGGTCGTCCCACGGTTACTAAAAACAACAGACATAGCCCCACTCCACAAAGGGAGCAGTAAAGCAACAGCAAAGAACTACAGACCGATAGCACTAACATCCCATATCATAAAAATCTTTGAAAGGGTCATAAGAAGCAAGATCACCACCCATCTAGAAACCCATCAGTTACACAACCCAGGGCAACATGGGTTTAGAACAGGTCGCTCCTGTCTGTCTCAACTATTGGATCACTACGACAAGGTCCTAAATGCACTAGAAGATAAAAAGAATGCAGATGTAATATATACAGACTTTGCAAAAGCCTTCGACAAGTGTGACCATGGCGTCATAGCGCACAAAATGCGTGCTAAAGGAATAACGGGAAAAGTCGGTCGATGGATCTATAATTTCCTCACTAACAGAACACAGAGAGTAGTAGTCAACAGAGTAAAGTCCGAGGCAGGCACGGTGAAAAGCTCTGTTCCACAAGGCACGGTACTCGCTCCCATCTTGTTCCTCATCCTCATATCTGACATAGACAAGGATGTCAGCCACAGCACCGTGTCTTCCTTTGCAGATGACACCCGAATCTGCATGACAGTGTCTTCCATTGCAGACACTGCAAGGCTCCAGGCAGACATC